GTCATAGTTTTCAGTGTATGTTGCATTATTATTGGTTTGGTACACAAAGTACGAATTTGGCTCATCCACAGTGTCTGTGTTGTGAAGTTCCTCGAATGTGAAATTTGGTAGTTGATTAGAGCGCGATTGGAAATAATTATAGCGTGGTTGGTTGGAATTAGGATATTGATATTATTTGGGCAAGGTATTGTGCGAAGTGGTGCTCATTGGGGTTGGTTTTGGCAGCGGTTTGTTTGGATCTGATTTGAAGGCATTTACTTGGGGCCTTTTCCCAAAAACCTGTGAATTGGTTGGTAATTTTTGCTGAGTTTTGTTATAGTTCAGTCTCACGAAGATTGGTTGTGATGGGTATGCGTTCTTATTTTGAAAGTGTGTGTATTGAGCAGATGTATTGAAATTTTGTGGTTTTGATTGATGTGTGTATTGAGCGTTGCGTTTTTGGCTTATTTTGAAAATATTGAGTGTTACTTTCTTGCGTAACAAACTGTAAGGCTTCAGGCAAATCTTTCGGCCTCATGGAACGAATCGTTGTGCTCGTTGTGCCTAATGGCTCTTTGAGTCCGGATAAAAATGTTTTCAGAGCTAGATTATTATAAAGGGTTCTTTTAAGAATTTTTGCATTATCATCTACTTCGTGTGAACATAACAAATTCAAAATATGTAAAATTCGGTCGTAGTACTGATTAGGGTTTTCGTTATTATTTTGCCTAAGCAAAAGGAGGTCTCTGTTAAGACAAGCCTCATCTCTTTGGCCAGCAAAATGCCTACCCAAGATAAGTTTTAATTCGTTCCAACTATTAACATTTTGGGTACCAAGAACAAGTTTAGCGTTACCCGTCAATTTTCCTATAATATCGGGTCTTCAAAAAAAAAAAACCAATCGAAGATTGCTTTGACTACGAAAACGTACGTCGCATTACTGTTTCTTTATTCGTCAGGATTTTTGACAGGACATTTTGACATTAAATTTCATTGACAAAATTAAAGACAAATATTGCTAAGACATACGTTTAAAAAACCATAGCAATCTTTGATTGGTTTTTTTTTTGAAGACCCGATACAATTCGACAAATAAATATTTTGAAAGTGGATTGGCTCATTGACATTGTAAAAGGTGTCAATAAGACTCTGACAAACTGCCAAATATCTGTTTAGGTCATTTGGATTGCCGTCAAAGGTCGGCACACAATTTAAAAATTCAGGTCTAAATGAAGTAGCCATTATTGATATATTACTGTTTACAGAGTTTTGTTGACTATTGTCAATTATCGATTCTACTCTGCCTCAGCAATATTTTCTGTATTATTTAAAGTTTGATTGATTATTCTAATTACTTCTTCAGATTGAGAAGCAGAGTCAGTTGAAGGTGATAAATTATCTATTCGCAAATTTAAGTTACTTAATTGCTTAATAATATCATCAATATTCGACTTAAATAGGTACGATCAATTGTACTACTTCCGCGCTCAGTATGATGAATATCCTCATCATAAGCCAAGAATTTTGGTTAGCGATGCTGGTCCTTCCAAAGACTGCTTGATCTTGCGAGAAATGACGATGATGTTCAAATCTCCACTTATTGTAACATAAGGTCAAAGTTTTTGGCAAGCGATTTTTCTCACACAAACGTCTTTGTCCTCGCCAAAAATTGGTGATTTAGTCCAATTTCCCGCACTGGTGTTTTAGTAGTGTTCACGATGAACTCTGATAACCGATGTTAGATTATTAGCCACTATCCACACAGCAAACAAACTTAGAGCTAGTCCTTATTTTTCGCGTTAACGGTCCAACCGAACCGAAAAGTACCGAAAAATATCTGCACGACTGCGCCAGTTAACAAGTCGATAGCCGAGAATTGCTTTTTTAAAAACTTTATTTTAACTTGCTAACAATATTTAGATAAAAATAAGAATATAATTATAAATTGAATGCTTTCAACTCACTGACTGTAAATCTAAGCTGAAAAGTTTTTATGACAATATAAAGTTAAAGTCAGCAGAAAAAGTGATTAGTCGGTATCTTCTGGCCATTTAACTTAATACATATAAAGATATATCTAAATACAACAACGATTTATCGTTAAACAAATCCAGCGATGGTTCGATAGGATAATCTACATTTCACCATGCCTTTTGTTGGCGATCGTATAAGATTTAAGTTGTAGGCACCGATGCAGAAAACAATATAATATGTATGCCAAATTTGCTATTAATTTTAGAAGTGGCAAACAATTAACTTTCTGCATACAATAGGTCATAATTTTGTTAACAGTTACGTACCATTTACAATTCCCTTCGGAGACCACATACATACTTTATTTTTATTTATTGGTGTTTTGTATATGCGTCCACACGTTATTGCTGGTTTTTGAATAAATAGTATCCAATAAAATACTTCTATCGGATCTTTTACCGAAGGTTCGTTATTGATGTTTTTTAGAGGCTCTAAAATGTAACCGGATAGAGCCCAAGCATCATGCATGATTAAATAAAATAATAGACGCCTTTATAACCTCTAAGATGATGACTGACGTACTATATTATGTGCCCTTGGAACTCTCCAATACAGTCCTTGGTGCAAAAATATTCGTCAAATATTTGTCGAAACTACAGTCCTGTAAAGAATGGCGACGAAATTTCCAAGAGATTTTAAAATTAAGAAGTTGGAATTGGTATGGAAGGGCAAATAAGCGGAAAACAGATGATTTGGAAAATCACGCTAGCATGAAGGAATGAAAGTATGAATCCATGTTCACAGGTGGACGATCAGGGCTGATAAGACACAACCTAAATTAAACACAAGACATAGAACGGGCATGCCTCTTTCTTAGACCCATCTCTAGTTCCAAAATCTAGTGAAGTAGCGAAAATTTCACTACCAATCATACAGTTATTACAAGGAAAGTCGAAGTCTCACGTTTTCTAGGCTTCCAACTGTGAACCTACTGAAGTCACGACGGCCTTTAAATGGTAACGCGTGCACTATCACTGCCTTACGTCAATTATCATGATTTTACAACGAACTTAAGATCTTCATCTAATTTTATGATTGGTCGGATTAGACGACATTCCCATAAAGTTTGCAAGTGATGAATGATGAACTGAAATAATCATACCTAAATGATAAAGCGAACGTATGCGAACTTATAAACAAAAAAAATATAACACAAATAATAATATCTATTATTTGAAAAAAAAAGAATATATTGGTATTTATGTATTCTAATTTAAAAGTAGTTTTATAAGGTATAGTCCAAGCAATAAAGGAAGTTTACCTCAACATAATTAGAAGTTAACATTTTTTGGGGGGGATCGGTTCATTTTCATGTGCTTAATAACATATTAAGTTTGCGACCTTGTACTTCCATAGGGTTTTCAGTTAGGGGTGGTTTTTAGGGTTAATTTGCAGTTTATGGAGAACGCTGCTCAAAAAGATGGTCCAATAGCAAAAAGTTTCAAATTAATGTTGTAGCTGAAGCTTTTTGCTATAAAAAACTCAGCGAGAGCACCCCTCTATCTTCTATAGTTTTTTTACTGCAGCGTCTTGAATAGCAGCATGTTTTTGTTCAAGGTCACTGAATCATCGTTTTGCCATTTTGCGCGCATTTGTTGCAGCAGCGGCCGAAGGCATAATCCGATTTCAATTTTTCAAACACCACATTATTTCTAATGAAATGCACTCTCCAATGCTTTTTTGTTCGAATTTTTTGCTTGAAAATTAAGCGAGCACGGACTTGTCTAATGTGCGAGGAAGTTGTAAATTGCATCGAAAACTACCCCTTTCTTGCATTCACTCTAATTTCTAAACGGGGCCAAATATTTGGTGACAGTTTTCGACAATCGGCAGCCAATTTATTCCTCCCATAATGCCCCAGCGGATTTTTTTTTCGTTAATCACTTAATGACTTATTGGCCTGAAAACGTCGCGCGCGATTTTTCAAAAAGTAAAAAAAAATTAAAATTGTCGCATAGCGCTGAAATTTGGTACGATGGCTTTATTTATTGTTCTCATGATTATACTGCAATTTTATATCATGTGAAGCAATTAAAATTGCAGTATATTCGTAAGAACAATAAATAAGGCCATCGTACCAAATTTCTGCGCTATGCGACAATTTTAATTATTTTTACTTTTTGAAAAATCCCGCGCGGCGTTCTCAGGCCAATAAGTCATTAAGTGATTAACGAAAAAAAAATCCGCTGGGGCATTATGGGAGGAATAAATGGGCTGCCGATTGTCGAAAACTGTCACCAAATATTTGGCCCCGTTTAGAAATTAGAGTGAATGCAAGAAAGGGGTAGTTTTCGATGCAATTTACAACTTCCTCGCACATTAGACAAGTCCGTGCTCGCTTAATTTCCAAGCAAAAAATTCGAACAAAAAAGCATTGGAGAGTGCATTTCATTAGAAATAATGTGGTGTTTGAAAAATTGAAATCGGATTATGCATTCGGCCGCTGCTGCAACAAATGCGCGTAAAATGGCAAAACGTTGATTCAGTGACCTTGAACAAAAACATGCTACTATTGAAGAAGCTGCAGAAAAAAAACTATAGAAGATAGGGGGGTGCTGTCGCTGAGTTTTTTATAGCAAAAAACTTCAGCTACAACATTCATTTGAAACTTTTTACTATTGAACCATCCCTTTGAGCAGCGTTCTCCATAAACCGCAAATTACCCCTAAAAACCACCCCTAACTGAAAACCCTATGGAAGTACAAGGTCGCAAACTTAATATGTTGTTTAGCATATTAAAATGAACCGATACCCCCAAAAAAAATTCAACTTCTAATTATGTTGAGGTAACCCCTCTTTTCAGATCTCCGTTTCTTGGACTAGTAGGTTAGGCATATCTAGCGAGTAAAACTACTTTTTAATCATAGAGCATCAAGCTTGTGCGAACGTATGAACAGGAAAAAAAAATACAAGAATTGAACATGACATTTGATAATTTGAATAATCTTTTCACTTTTATTATTTTATATAAATTATTATTTTTTCAGTAGACCATCTCAATCAATGTCCACAATTTCATCGATATCGGGCAAACCACAAAAAGTGTCAGCATCTATGAACGTAAGGCCAAACTATTCGTCGAGGCAGCCCACACAACCTCCAAGGCACAGCATAAGGCCAATGAGTACAGATGCCTTCTCGCTTTCCAATAGTATATTAGGTAAGTCATTGATAGAGGGAGATAAGTCTGTCATTTATCCATAGCCCATCATTTACTAAACGAAATGCTCGAGAGGGTTATAGAGAGAGTAATAAATTCTGGCAGAACGTATTGTCAGAAAGTTTGGATAAATCGTCCAGACTTGAATTTAAGTCAAAGTGTCAGGTATCTATCAAAGAGGTTACTTATGTTTCACCCTTCTAGGACATCATCAGACCTTAATAAGAACAAATATTAAATTGTTTATTACCAACTGCGCCTAGTTTTCCCAAACTTCGTTTATGGGGGGTTCTCCGCACTTCTCTCTGTTACCTCGGGGCGCCACTAGGTTACCCTTTTCGGTCATCTGTAATCAACTTGTCTAGCTAATATCGAATATAAATTGAAGCGTTCCAAAGGTTGCCCAAGCAATAGGATTCTTAAGATGGAACACAATATTTTGATTTTGTTCCTATGGCTGATACGAACTTAGGTCCTCTAGCATATTGTTCTGAGTTCATCTCATCTATGTTATCACCAATTGACATATTTTAATCATCAGCAAAACGCAGATGTTTTGAATATATATTTCCTGCCATCTTCAATACTTTTGTTCTCCAATGGTGAGGTAAATAGTTCTGGAGAAATTATATAATCTTCCTGGCGGACTGCACTTTAATCTATGTAAATCTCATTTGTTCTTGTATAACTTGATCCCCTCGAACGCAAAAATAAGCAGTTTCGTAAGTATATAGTTTTTATCGGCTGAGAATATTCAAAGTTCACTCTCGCATTATTTAAGGCAGGAAGAAAAGCCACTATTCCTGCAGAGACAAACGCTTTTTTAAAGTATATAAAGAGGCCAAGTGGAGTTCTATGATGTATTCACTTACCCTTTCTATAAGAAATTTCAACGTTTATTACATTTATGTTGCACTGGATGGCCAGAACTCCAACTCTTACCAAATAAATGCTGGTGTGCCACAGGGAGCAATCCTTTCGCCAACTCTTTTCCTGATTTACATAAATGACCTCATAGATAAAACAGTAAATCCACTTTATTGCTTTGCAGACGATGGCAATGTAGTCTCCTCACTCATACCACCCACAGGTCTTTCCGCACGTGAATTCCATCATCTTAGACTAACTCAAATATCGCAGATAAATAACGACCTGGAGATAATAGAGGACTGGGGTAACAAAAACCTTGTACAGTTCAACGCGCAGAAAACCCAAGCAGCTCTGTTTTCAAAAAAGACCAGCACCGGTGAGCCAAACATCATGCTATCTGGAAGTGCTGTCACATTACAGAGTCAGTTGAACATCTTGGGGGTTACTGCAGAGACCAACATGTCTTGGCACAGTCACGTGGCAGATATTGCTAAAAGGGCCTCCCAAAAGCTGGGGGTGCTATTTCGTACAAGACATCTGTACACACCAAGCCAATTGCTGACACTCTACAAAGCCCAGATTCGACCAACTATGGAGTACTGCTCACATATATGGAGTGCAGCACCCAAACATACCTTAATGCTTTTGAATACCGTGCAAAAACGAGCTATCAAGCTGATCAATGACCCCGCACTTACTCGTAACTTGGATGGTCTCGAACATCGCAGATCTGTGGGCGATTTATCTCTCTTCTACAGGTACTATCACGGAAAATGCTCTGAAGAGTTGGCACGTATGATTCCACCGAGAGTAGCACCTACCAGGCGAACCCGTCAAACAGACGGTAACCATGAATTTACTGTCAAACTAGAGGCACCAAGAACCTCATTATATCACAATTCATATCTCTGGAGAACAGCATCGCTGTGGAATAAACTCCCTGCGACGGTTTTCCCTGCAGGTTACAACCTGAACCGTTTCAAGACCAACATACACCGACATTTCCGCGCACTTGCCGCTTCTCGAGCGTGATAGGACATTTCCTTGCGAGTGCGCATATCCGTAAAAAAAAAAAAAAAAAAACGTCTGAAAATGATCCAGTGTATTGTAACTCTTACGGAATTCAGCCTACGGCTGGTTCGGCCAGTTAACTAGTTAATATTACAATTCTCATGACCAGCTTATAAAGATGAGAGAGTGAGTAGGCTTAGCAGGCGGTAGCTATTCATATCCGTGCTATCTCATTTTTTGGTTATCAAGATAACTTCAGCATTGTGCCAATCTGTAGATATTTATCTTATCTCAAATACCTAGCTACTGTGTGTTTTGATGTCGTTTATACAATAATACTATGGTTTCTAAGATAAGTCGATAAGAATATAGATACAAATTATTATTTTTATTTGGCGTGTCGCTAACTGACTGATATACTGACAATCTTATCCACAGATTAACCCGTCCTAAAGATAGGAAACTCAAGCCTTTTTCCCTATCCTTGTCTTACTCATGCAGCGAGTTGTATGACTGCCACAGCATGGTGGCGCTAGTGTGCACTTCGGTGTGTTCAGTAGTCACGTGGTTCCCGTCTAATCAATAATTTCATTTTATTATAAAACCCTATTTTTTGAAAATACAACAACAACATTTCAGTACTATCTTCTTCTTTACCAGAACAGCCTTTAACACAACAACAGAAAACCATATTAAAAAAAAAAACACTAAAAAGTTGATACGTCTTGTGCACAAATGACTCCTTAAGTGAATGTCAAAAATTGCTAATAAATACCATCACTAAAACCTCTTTCACAATTTTTACATGTAACATAAGGTCTCTTTTGTTAAAAACATATTAGGAAGTCAAAGTTTTACTAAAAATTGATAGGAAATCAAATAAAGAACATTAACACACATCAAACGGCTGACTAATGGCAAATATAATGACAAATTGACCGGTCTCGCATAAATAGAAAAAGAGAGCTTGACTGTAATAAATACAAGTTAGAAAGTAATAAAAGATGACATGCGCGCGCAACTCGTAGGTGCAGTGTAGCCAGATTGTATTGTTGCAGAACAAATGTAGACAATACAAATCGAACATTATAACATTAAAGAAGTGATATAGTGTCATGTGTTTTACAACGCCTTGAATCAGACAAAAGAAGCGCTTAAAAAGTGTATGTTAACATCGTTTGCACTTTTATTTTGATAAATGTTTCATCCGGCAACATCACACAATGAAATTGCATAGGAATATGTCAATTATAATCTAACATAACCTTAAACGACACTGCGGTGAGTTCAAGTAATATGTAAAATATTAGTTTGCTCTTTGTTGAATTACACGTTACAAAGAAAGAAGGAACGATTCATTCTGAACTGGCCTCTGAATAAGAATATGACGCAAGCCTGTAAGAAACTTTCTTCCCATTGGACGCTCACCTGCAGCCTACAAGCGACGCGCGCAGTCCAGGTAATAGGAGATCGGTCTATTACATTCATTCACAGATGAAATTTGCTTGTGGCTGACGCAAGCCTGTAAGAAACTTTCTTCCCATTGGACGCTCACCTGCAGCCTACAAGCGACGCGCGCAGTCCAGGTAATAGGAGATCGGTCTATTACATTCATTCACAGATGAAATTTGCTTGTGGCTTTGCTATACTAGCGCCGCATAGCTTTGGCAGTCATGAAACTCTCATACGTGTTATTTTTTAGACAGCTCCGAACGAACATTTTACATGGAAGTTTCCTATCTTTAGGACGGGTTAATCTGTGATCTTATCAACCGGTATCACCTGGTTTGTTATATTGATTATTAAAGCACACTACTTCAATTCTAACTATACTCAAACACCTCCCCCTCAAAGATTAAGACGCTTAGGGGCTTTCAAATAACGACCGTATCGTGAGCGCATATTTGAACCTTGGCTTTCACTGTTATTTTTACAAGTCAACTTGGAACTACAATTTTGAGGTGGTGGTGGAAAACCTAATAAATCTGGGGTGCTATTTTGTTGAGGACTATTTGAAGGACTCTTGAAAAATCTTACAGAGCTTGGGTTATTATTAGTTTGTACAGGAAAGATATTGTTAGGATGAACATTGTCATTATCATTAGAGCTCTCATTGGGATACAATTCGGGTTCACACAATAATTTGTAATCTGAATTTGAAGATGACATTTTCATATGTGATGTAGGTATTACGCTTAACGATTTTATTATTGCTATCTTTCTTGACACAATAAGATATTGGCTCGGAATCTAGAATTGCTGTTTGCCAAGTTTTCTCTTTATCAATTTTTATTACCACTTCATCCCCCCTTTTTACACTTCAACGATTTCCCATGCGTTAATTTTTCAAAATTTGATTTCATAATCTGTTTTTGTTGACAAAGTTTATCATAAATATTTATTTCTATTTTTGGTTCCAATTTCTTGGACGTGATAGGAAGCTCTGTTTTCAAAATTCTGCTCTGTAAAATTTGTGCAGGGGTAACATCCAAACTTATTATAGGTGAGTTTATATTATATTATATTCTAAGAAATATTCTCTGCAGTCACACTTATCAGAACTTTTTCTTACAATCTGCTTAGCTATGCTCACTGCCTTTTCTGCCATGCCATTGCTTTGATGGCAATGAGGTGAATATGTAGAAATTGTGATATCTTTACTTTTATAATATTTTTTGCAATGGTTTGACACAAATGGTAAGTTGTCACCTATCATAACCTGAGGATAACCAAATCTAACAAAAATATACTGAAAAACATCTATCACAAATTTTGACGCTTTATCTTTCATGCAAACTAGTTCTAACCAATGTGAAAAATGATCTATTAAGACTAAAAAGTTCTCCCCTTCAAACTCTACAATACCTACTACTTTATTAAATCCTAATTTTGGGACACTATGTTGCAAAAGAGGTTGTTTGTAGTTTGCTGGTAGGTACTTTTCACATATACACGGCATCTTTTGATAAACAATGAAAAACTTGGCAAAGAAAATAGAGTTCTAGCTTTGTTCGTGGTTTTGCTAATGCCAATATGACCTCTATGTCTTAGTTTTTCAGGAACTATAATTTTATCTTCGACAATAATAATACCTGTTTCGACATAAATAGAATCTTTTA